GGGCACACCATGGCAGATAAGGCAAAGTCCTGAGTCAGAGACTAAATGCTCATGAGGGAGGCTGCAGGTGCAATGAAAAGTTATACAAATGTGCGGCTCAGTGTGAAGGATCCAGAAGCCAGGGGACAGAGCATGACAGGGAATGCTTGTCCCTCTGCCTAGAGGCTGGGCAGCCCTGATAACATGAGAGAATGAGCCCGAAGACAGCATTTCAGGCAAAGGGAACGTGTGTGAGGCCTCACGGAGCCTACCACCCTGCAGCTACAACTCTAAGCAACGCGGATATATTCCCGTGCTGCTAAAATTTTAATTTTAAAGGCTGCAGAATATTCCATTTTATGATGTCCTCATGGATTTTACAGCTTTCCCAAAGTTGCAGCTCAGAGCTCGGTGCATTTCTCCACTCCTACCTGAGCCTCAGGCCCCAGCCACTCATAATCATTTGGGTTAATAGGCCCACGTGGCTCCTGCAAATCTCCTAAGCTGGAGAGAGCACCTCTGACTCCTGGGGATTGGCAGGGCCCACTTAAGTGGCTTCCTCAAACTGAGTGAGAAGGATGCGGTGGGGGAAAGTGCCAGCATTGGAGGCTGGGCTCTCCAAGGTCCCGGGAGCCTCGAGCACAGCCACCCTGTGCAGATCAGTCCCTGTGCGGGGATTTTGGAAGTGGATTTTGCTGTCAGAGCTAATGACTCAGAGCTGGAATCGGCTTTTCCATTTCCACCTCTGTGATTAGCAGTGTGCTTAGTTAGGTGCTGCCAAGAGCCCCACTCCCCAGCCACCTGGGCTCTTGTGGGCGGGGCTCAAATAGACTTTCACCTCCTAATTTCAGGGGGCGGGGACAAATATGATATTTATGGACAGCCTTTCACCATGGTGAAAGGCTTATCACATTGTTCATCAAGTGTAATGGCTGTAAAACCCTATCAAATGCCAAGAAACCTACAGGTGCCACGTCTAAAAGTGGCTACATCAGACTCTGCGAGCTGAGATACCTGTGGATGAGCCTTGTTTGGTGGCTCATCTCCTGGCTCCCTGGGAGGAGCCCTGCCACGCCACTGCAGAGCCCTCTGTCTCCTTGTCCCTACCAGTCCCGAGGTGGGCTTAGTTTTCTCTGCTTACAAAGGGAGGGAAATTTCCACTAGGCGGGTCGAAAACAGTTGGTACAGAGCCCGGGGTCTACCCCACGTGCAGGACTTCACAGTTCTTGACCACTAAGAACTTGTCATCAGCCACACCACGTGACCAACAAGGTTTGCTGCAACCACTTTGATCACCCTTTGTGCCCTTCCGCCTCCCTCCCTGGACTCGGCCCTCACTCCCTCCCCGGACACCATCTTCAAGCCAGCAGCAAGCCCAGCCTTGTCCCTGAGACCAGCTCTATTTCTGCATCCCCAACACCAAGGTCCTGGAGATCCTCAGGCCTCAGTCTGCCTGCAAGCCTCATGCCCATGATTCAGCTGGGCAGGACGGCAGGCAGGAGGGGGACTCAGGGACAAGGCCAGTTTCAGCCAAGGCTGGAGGTGCAGAGAATGTTCTGGAAAGGTTTGTGGCTCAGCCCTTTTGTTTATCTCCTCCCATGGTGGTGCAGGCTCTCCCTCTGGGTTAGCTTCCTGCCCCTCTATCAGTGCTAAAGAGAAAAGGTTTATTTGGGCTTACAGTCTCAGAGTTTTCAGTCCATGACTGATTGGCCCATTGCTTTAAAATCCAAACTACAGCATTCCCCCGGGTATTTGGCCTCTACCCTGAGTGAGGAGTCTTCCCACCCCTGCTGGGAGGGCCCTGCACAGGCTCCCTCCTCACACTAGGCCTCAAGCCCTCCCGAACTGTCCTTCTGTGGCCATCTGATTCCTCGCTCTCCACTGGGCAGTGCCTTCCTGCGAGGAAGGGATTGTGAGAAGAATCTCCTCCCTGGCAGGGGTCTGATTTGTGAAACTTGCTGAATGCATTCTTTTAAAAAAATAAATAATAGAAATGTGTGTGAAGGATCCCTCGCCTCCACAGCTATGGCTTGGGACAAGGAGTGATTGTGAAATATGCCAACTCTCAGGTCCTGGCCCAGATCCGACAGAAACCCCATGGCATGAACCGTGATGGATTTGGAAGCAAGCTCCCATCAGAGTTTGGGCGCTTCTTTGTCAGCAGGTAAAATCCAGCCTTGGTTCCGTTCGGGTGTGCTCCGCAGTGTGGTCTTGGCCAGTCCTCCTTGGCCTCCCCTCCCTTCGCCCCACCTCACCGAGGCTCCTAGGAGAAAACACACCTGGGGGACTGCCTGTCACCCTCCCCTGCCACAGAAGCTCCCGAGGCACGGGTCTCTGTGTGGCTCCGCCTCACCCCTCAGAACTGGGCCTGGCATACAGTCACCGCTCCACAAAGGCACAGATATATGCACAATTCACCTACAGAGCCGAAAAAATTGATTAGGGCCCTCCACAGCTGAGAAAGAAGAGGCCGGACCCTAGTAGCTTGAGATAATATTGACTTTTTTCCTTTTTCCCTTTGATTAGAAGACACTTGAGAAATGAGGGCAGCCATCCTGTTCTCCCTGGTGCCGTTGGGTCATGTCCACTAACAGAAACCAGTGTGGGCAGCTAGTTTCCTAATCAGATTAATTAAATTCAGATGTTGAGCACAAAGACCTCCCTGCACCTTTACCCAAGTAAACAAGACAGTGTGGAGGCTGATGCTCCTCCAGGCTCCCTGAGCCCCTGTGGTGACGAGCTGGGCTTCTGACCTCTGCTGAAACTGCAGGGAAGATGGGGTGGCTGGAGGGACATGCATGGTGTGCAACAGTGGCTCAGGAGGGGCGCTGGGTCCTCACTGGCTTAGTGGACACTCAGGACTGAGTCTGATCCTTGGGTGAAGAGAGACACTGGGTCTGCTGTTGCTTGTCATCATTAAAGATTTGGATCCAGGATTGCACACCTGTAATGCAGCAACTCGGGAGGCTGAGGCAGGAGGATCACAAGTTCAAGGCCCTGAACACCTTGGAAAGACCCTGTCTCAAAAAGGGCCAAGGATGTGGCTCAGTGGTAAAATGCCTCTGGATTCAATCCCCAGTACCAAAAACAAAAACAAAAAAATATTGGTTAGGTTTTATCTCTGACCCCATGGTGTTGTGGCCCAGCTCAGGTGAACTATACGTTCTGTTCAGAATGGATAACCCTCTGCATCAACTGGAGGCCAGGCATGGGAAAGGGCGGAGGACAGTGGGAAGGACAAGATGGTGTCACAATAAGGCATAGCTATTGAGCTTGAGAACTTACAAGCTAATGAAGCTTTTTCTAGTTTGTGCTTTATGTCCTATATTAGGGAAAGAATGAGATGACTCTTAATGAAAAATGCAGGTTCACTTAAATAATCATAATAGAAGAAGAAATGCAAAGGGAGGGAGCTAATTAGACTCTGAATGCCCAGGCTGACATGTTCAGGGGATCATCAACCCGGGACTCGGCAGGTGCTCATGAGCATGTGGCTCTTCCTCCCACACTCAACAAGTTTTCCTGAATCTGTGACGGATGTCCTGTCCCACCCCAGGCATCCACCCGAAAAGCTCTGCCTTGAGTTGTTGCACTTATGGAGCTGAGATCTGTCCCCCACGGTTCAGCCCTGTTCATTAGAGGTGCCAGGAGCCCCCAGCCCTTCTGCAGAACCTCCACCAGGCAGTTCCTGGAGATTCTTCTCTTGTCCTCTGTCTCCTTGCATCTGAGTCTTTGGTGTTTCCCTGTGCGACTCACACACACCAGGGTCAGTGCTCCTCTCAGACACCTCTGCGTTCCCAGAGCTGTCACAGTACCTGTCATGCAGAGGTCACTCGGCAAACATTGGGCAGATGCACACATTAGCTCCCTTCTCAGAGAGGAAGTGCACGGTGTTGAGCAGGAGGTTTGGCATAAACTGTTTTCCAGTAAGTGCTTTTATAAGTAGAAAGAACGTGCACTACGATGACAATTAGGGGTGTAATAAGCACATCCCTCACTACCATGGCCCAGCATGACCTAGCACCTGCTGTACCTGCATCCACGGGCAGCACTCAGGCCTGTGTCCACCAGCACAGCTCAATACTGCAGTGTGCACCACGCTGACCGTGGGACTGGAGGGCGCCACTGGGCAGGTGACTTTCCTCTTTATGATAATGGTGTGGACACCGTCTTACATGCCATCAGCTCACAGGGCCCGGTGGCACAGAAAGCAGGCAGCACCCTGGGGGCTCACTGCCAGGGGTTTCCTTTTTACTTTTTATTGTGAATGGTGCTCTTTTGTGGGAGAATGAATCAACCAATTCTGAATTCGGTTTTTGTCTCCTTTTGTGCAAATTCATCTCATTTTAACATTTTTTTCCCTCACATCAGATTTGAACTTAATATTTAGTCAGAGGAAATGGCTTTAAGATCTCCAGGAGGCTCAAGGTAAAAATTCTAAATAGTAGATACAAACGAGCCAAATGTCAGAGCTAGATTTATTCCAATTAAGTCATTGTAAGTCAACTCTTTTTATAGATCTGAAGTAGAGGAGGAAGTAAATATTCCGTCCCTGAGGATTTGTTAGTGGAGATTTAGGCCCCCTTTCCATTCTTGAGTTTGAATTTAAAATATTCCCAATGCCAAGGGGCTCCTGGATGCGCACACAAAATAATTGTTTTAAAATTCTATTAGACAAAACCATAGCACAAACGCTATGGTTGAACTATCAGCGCCCCAGGCGCGGAAGGACGTTAGCATCATTCAAACACTGCACATAGCTACCCCGCTCTGGAAACTGCCGCTAAAAATGGGTATTAAATCCCACCTTAAAGGTCAGGGGCAATTTGCACATCTTTATTAATGGGCCCAAATAACCCTGGAAGGGCCTGGCTATTAAAAACACGGAGTCGGAACAAGTAGGTGTACCTACGGGGAGGACATCATTAGCCTCCTCCTCACAACTTAGAGCAACACACATTTTCAGATGGATGAGACCTAAACATGAAAAACCATAAAACACACAAAAAGATCATATAGGAGATGTTAAAAACAGGACTTTCTTTTATTCTACTAGGAAAAAAGGACTCTATGAGAAGTTTCCAGTCCCAAATGCAATAAATAAAAGTGGATCAATAACTAAAACTCCTGTATATTTGAGAGGTCCTACAGGTTTCTTTTTTTTATTAACAAGACAAATGACAACAGGACAGAAAATTTTGTGACATATATAACAGACAGCTACTGTCCTCAATATAGAAAACTCCTTGAAATCAACAAGACAGAGAACACAGAAAAGTCAGCAGTGTCCTGCAATCTCCTGAGAGTACGTCTTCCCCCTCAGCAGACCAATTGCAGGGGCTTCTAAATGCTCCATTTCCCCTTCCTTCAGGTGTGCAAATGGGTGGGTTTCCTCAAAGCACAGCTTCACCCTGTCATTTTCTTGATCAGATGGTCTCCATGGCTGACAGGCTGTCATGTGACCGCATGATGGTACTGGTTGGGCATGAGGCTCAGGCTGCAGGCCGGGCATGTTGAGGACACCTCCACAGGAGCATCTATCGCGCCCCAGAGGAGGTGCCCCCAGGTGGCTTTGGAATCCTTGCCACTGCGCGTGAGGTTCCTCTCCATCCCACCTTCCCCTTGTCTTCCACTCTGCCTGCTGAGGTCTTAGCCTCAATCGGCAACAAGTCCCCTCTGCCACACTCCCACAGCGTCACACCTTCGCCATGCGCTTGGCCTTCCAACCGCCTGCAGCTGGGATGACGAACTGTGAATTACCTTCCTGTCTGAAACGGGAAGCTCCTGGCGGCAGGGGCTTACTTCATCCTCCATAGTCTGTCTAATGTCTGTCCCAGAGCTTGCCCCACAGTGAGTCCTCAATCTACAGGATGACTGCAAGGGCGACCTGCACACGGCCGAGCCAGTCACAGTGCTCCCAGGATCCGAAGCCACGGGCCGCGGCCTTTGAGTTCCTGAGCACTTGCCTCCACAGATGCATTCCTAGCCAAGTGGAGTCCTGGAGTGGTGACCAGTCACAGGAATGAATCAGATCAACTCTAGTTTGGGGAAGTTTGGGGACCTTCGTACATCCCTTACTTTTGGCTTCTCATTTTGGATTTTCAATCCTGAACAGAGACTACCTGCAAGGAACATGGGAGTAGTCGGAGCCGGGACTTAGTTTGAGATGGTGGGAGTCACTAGCTGTTTGACCCCAGGCAAGGTGCCCCTTAGACCTCAGTCTCCACATCTAAAAAATGGGATACAAAACCGCTGCCTACATCACAGGCAGGAATCAAGAAGACCACTCACTTGGGTATGTTTATCATCGTGCAGGCAGCATAATGAGACTCAAAATCTTGATGGCCTGCAGGGAAAAAAAAACAAAATAGAGGCAAAGACTAAAGAGTTCAGACAGCTGTGAAAAAACAGGAAATTTTCAGGGGAAGGAAGGACTAACATTTTCCAAATGCCAACCTTGTCACAGGCTGGGAACATCTCTGGCTAATTCAGTGCAAAGAAAACAGCAGGTTATTTAATTGCATAATATAGCAAAGCACCCTAACACAGAATCTAAGAAATGTAAGTCTAATATAAGTATAATGAGCATGGTGAACACAAATGTGACTCATGTAATTAATACATAATGGAATTAATGTGTGATTAATATGAGATGGCATACTCCGGCACAGCATAACATTAGGTGCTTGTCTTTTTCTAAACCATTTTCAGAATAAGCTGAAGGCACAACGGCCCGTGCTTGACAGAGGTGTTATAAGACAGAGCCAGAGCACCAGGCAGCCTCTGGGCCCTGGTCGCAGCTGTCCCGTGACTGTTTTCAGTGTGAAAGTTCCGGCCGCTGCCCACACACTCTTCCCGCACAAAGACCTTTCTGCATCCGGCTCTTCTCACATGTACTTTCTTTTTCCTTTGGTCTTTCTTTAAATTTTGCCATGGCTCCTTGACCTTCAGAAGAAGTGCATTTGTCTGGGGGGCTCAGGTATCCTTGTGATCCTACAGGTTGGCTCCCAGCAAGAAAGAAAATGTCCTTATTAACAGATGAAGACCTCCTCTAAGACATGGCTGTCACCAAAGGAGCCCAGACCAGGGTGAGCTGAATGGGACCACTGAGAGATTATATTTGGAGGCCAAAAGTCTCAGTCTTCAGGAGGAAGAGCATTTTAATGCAGCATGTAAACTCTCAGAATCAATGCATAGAAATCCATAAGGTGCAAATTTTTAAATAAAGACATCATCAAAATTAATGCAGAAAATCTATAATGAACAAAATGCCCAATTTTCGATATGAGCATCGCTGAGTTTTCCTTTTGCCTTTGATTCCAATGTGGTGTATCTCTGCCCTGTAATTGATCCTGTCTCCGTCTAAAATGTTTTTAAGTAATTGCCATTTTTTAAAAATGCATTGCGTTTTGACCTCATTTATCTTTATGACCGAGTTTTTTGGCACTTCCTTTCAGAGAGTGCAGAAAGCAAGCCCCTTCCGACTCCCGCGGGTGCAGTTCACTGGTTCCCTAGTTGGTGCCCACCCTGGAGGGCTGGGGAAGGCATTGCCAAAGGAATCATGCATTCCACGGGTTAGCTAAAGTCCCAGCAACCTATGGCCCAGGGTCTCTAACTGATAGAAGGGCAGAGAGGTGAAATGACTAGCTTAATGACTTCCTTGATAAATGAAGGAGACTCACATTTTCTCTTTCAAAAGGGCAAGTCACAGTGATGTTCAACCCCTTAAGGGAGCTTAAGGGGTTGGAAGGGAGGAAGGAATCAAATTAGTATAAAGCCCACGGTGTGGGTCCTGTTAATAACCAGAAGGAAAGATGGAGAAAGCAAGAGACCAGGTAAACATGCAGAGGTGAGCGCAAGGCAGGAAGAGGTGGCATCAACCTGAGCCCCTTGAAAGCCACCCACCTATGCCCCAGGGGTTCACACGGAGCCAGCTGTGCATGCAGGGCCTCTGGGTGGTGACATTCATGTGGCAGGGCTTTATCAAGTAGAAAGCGTGCATCCCAAGACCTGTGTTGGGAAGCTGATTACTTAACCTTTTCCCAAAGAGCCTTCAACAAATATCCCACACCCCCAAGACAAATTATTTTCCCTTTCATAAAGCTCAAGTGGGTGCACCTCCGTTTCTCTGCAGTAGGAGCGGCTGCATGGCAATCACTTGAAATGCAGGCTCTGAATGGAAATTAATGCCATTGATGAAAGCAGCGACTAAAACATTAAAGGATATTGGACGGAGAAGACAATGGTATTTGCATCCTTTTGAACATTCACCTAGATTTGCATAATGGAGATGTCAATTGTATTTGCAAGAGAAAAATCAACCTACCTGGGCTCCCTAACTGGCTGCTTGCTACAGCTCCCTTAAGGGGTTGAACATCACCGTGACTTGCCCTTTTGAAAGAGAAAATGTGAGTCTCCTTCATTTATCAAGTGAGTCTTTAGTGGAACAGGAGTGAGGAACATGGTGGGCTGTCCCTGCTCCCAGGCTACAAAACCCAGCGAGACACATTTTTGCTGAAGGCCAGGACCTGAGCTCACTGTCTGGACTGAGTGTCCGTCAACCCCGCTGTCCTCCAGGCACAAAGAGCATATGGTCCAACCTTGGCCCTTTGGACTTCTGCTGTTGGAAGTTAAAATGTCAACATTGGGACCCAGGTGTATTGATCTCACTGTTTCTGGTATATTAGTGTCATTGCTTCTGGTATCTGCTAGCACCTTCTCCCCAGGCTTGTGGATGTACCTCAGAATCACCTGCAGTGCTTTAAAAAATGCATGTGCCCTGGCCGCTCTCCAGTGTGGGCCCCGATGTTGCTATTTCTCAATATTTTAAGATGATGCTACCGCACAGCCAGGGTTGAGACCGCCTCTCAAGGGGACCTAAGTTCCTTTTACTCTTTTTTCTTTATCACGGCTGCTTTAATATGGTGAATATGTAGGATTCAATCTCAAAAGATCCCACTTGTGTGAGTTGGAATTTACATAATGCCAGGCACACCACAGAGCCTGTTGCCCCATGGTGGAGACCAGGAGTGGGTTTATCTAGCCGTGTCCTTGTTAGCTGCTCGACCTTGGGCAGGTGGCTTAGCTCTTGGGGTCTGTTTCCTCACCTGTGAAATGGGAAATCTCCTTTCCTGGTAGTACGGGGGCTGGTTCATGATGGTCTATCACAAAATCGGCATGCAAAAGGTGGATTCTGCTCTCTGTGACCTTTGCAGAAATTTCCCCTGAGGGCTGTCCTCCAGCCCCCGGTAGCCCCAGCCAGATAGAAGGAGAGGGGCACTTCCCTTTTGCAGCCCTTCCAGTCACGGTCCCTCCTCCATGGCGGCCACTCCTGATGTCCAGTGGCACAGATCCGAGTGGCCTGTTTTGAGTCTTTCTCCTGCATACCTGTACAGCGTGTCCCTTTTGTGCAGGTTCCTTCCTGTCACCGTTGGTTAGGTCCACGTGGGCCGCATGTCGCCGTAGCTCACAGGTACTCTCTTCACCACTGTGCCGAGGGGTGAATGCGACACCACTGACCCTTCATGCCCCATTCTCCTTCGACTGAGAATGGTCACAAAGATGTTCGAACCGAGGTATCTTTCCAAACAGCTGACTCTCCAGCCACCCTCTCCAAGGTACATGGGACTGACATCCAGCTCCCTGTCCCAGCAAGACGGAACTCCTCCTCCCTGGTCCATGTCCACGGCTCTTCTCCTTGGGCACCAAGCCACTTACTAATAACTGGCCAGCACTGTGCACGTGCCCAGTTTTCTTTCTGGCCCTGCCTCTTCACCCAGGGAGGCTCCCCTTGGCCTTCCCAGTGACTCTCTTCTCTACGGAGAGCGTTTTCTCCCATCTCCATCTGGAGAACACTGATATCTCTCTCTAGACCTGAAGCTTAATGTATCCCCATGAAAAGCCTCTCCCTTCTTTGCCTTTGATGACGTGTCCTTTTTGGCTGAGCATTCCCAGCAGGGCCTGCAGAACTCCTTCGTGATCCTTGTAGGTGGAGTTGGAAGGTGCAGGTTTATTTCTCTGTAAGATTATGTGTTGCTCCAAGCCGTCACCCCCCATCTGGGTCTCCTTCCCCTCCGTGTCCTGTACATCTCTTACAGTGGTTGGCTCTTCTCAGCGAATAGCTAAGTATGGATGGAGAAGTGGTGGGTAAATCAACTTAATTAACCAGGGAACTTTCAGGCACGGCTTATCTTCCCTGGAGAATAATTCTCACTAGAGGTCACGTGATGGACATCTTCAGGCATGATAGTTGGTCTTCCCAGAAGAATGCTTTCTCTTATCCGTCTCTACATCTTGCACCCCTTCTTTTTTTTGTACTGAGGATTAATCCAGGAGTGTTTAGCCATAACCCCTTTTTTATATCTTATTTAGAGATAGGGTCTCACTGAGTTGTTAAGGGCCTTGCTAAGTTGCTGAGGCTGCCTTTGATCTCTCTATCCTCCCACCTCAGCCTCTGAGTCCCTGGGATGGTAGGCATGGCCGTTGTGCCTGGCCATGTTGCACCCCTTCTCCATCCAGCTCCCACCTGCCATTAGAAGCTCTGTGTGGTGACTGCCTGCAGCGTTGTCCCTTCCCCTCCCTCTTGATATCAGGACAGCAGTTGGAGCACACTCACTCACCTCGGGCATGTTACAGGGAGAAAACTATTCAAAACCCCCACCATCCACTGCCTTATTACCCCATGGAAAGACAATCCAAGGTAGGCCTTCAGTCAATTGATTTCCAAAAGATTTACTGGTGCTTACTGCAAGGAAGGGCAGATAATTCAGCCCGACTTACTTTGACCTGAATTTATGTCCAGTGGGACTTATGCCTGAATTATTCAAAAAAATGCCCTCAGTTGCTCCTTAAATTCATCTCATACACATTCTATGTATATTCAAAAAGTGTTTCCTATGATTATTTTTCATATAGCTAATGTCACCTTGATCAGGTCAATGTTCATCAAATTTTTTTTCAATATACAAATGTATGACATCACTTTTAGTCACACCTGCTCCCGATGGCTACGCCTGATTGAATTCATCTGAGGAGCTGGGGTTCACTTATAATGGCCTTTAGATGTTGTTTTTCACCACCGGCTTCTGTCACCAGCTTTGTTTACATTTGGTTCAGAAGATACAAATTTTAAAAGTGACAGGTTGTAACTAGACATAAGATCAATGCAGTAGTTTCTGTTTAAGCTTCTTTTGGTCGCTGTCAACCGAAACCTGAGCACAGATGTCAGGGAAGCATGATTGACACACAGCTGTGGTCAGGCAGGGGTCTCCGGGCATTTCCCCTCCTCACTGCGAGACTGTTCCAAGGGCTTATTAATACTACTTTGCTGCTTTGGGTCCCAATTTCCTTCTCACACACCAAATTCTGTCCACTGTCTGAGGGTCACTTTTCCACATGGGGCTTGTTGGGAACTGATGGATTTCTGGTGCCTCTTCTGTCCTACCAGCTGTTGGAAATGCTCAGCATGTCCCCTTCCGGCTGTGGGGAGAGCATTATCAAAGTGAGCAGCTTCAGCCACAGACAAAACATCCAGAAACATCTTTGTCTTGCAACCTCTATGTCTGTTAGGAATAAGGCCATGCGACTCAAGTCAAGAGCCACGATCCCCCAGCCCCCATGAGGCCTGTTGGATATGCTCACCAAGTTGGCCATTTCCTTTGGATTATAAAAATAATTATGAATATTTGAATTGAAATCACTGGGATGTTCATTAAAGAAAAACAACTATTAATTAGCACTGAATTTCTGTGAATGTCCTCAGGGTATATTCAGAAAATCAGTATTATAAAAGCTTGAACAGTTCCATTAGTTTAGCCTGATTGTACTCTGATTCTTTTTCTTTATTTATTCTTACACCGAATAATATATTAATGAGAACTAAGTAGATTTTTTTTTTATGAAACAAATGAATTTGCTTTTAGAAGAAAGTGTTTTACAACTCTTACTGGGCAATTAGATCCTAATGCTTGTTATCATGGGTTTTTTGGTATTGGATAAATGACTGAATTTATAATTAAACCTGTCTCTCGGACTGAAGTTACTAACCAGACACTTGGGTCAATTATATAATAGCAGTGTACATTGCATTAGACGTTAGCTCAACAATTACCACGCAACATTGAGTTCTGTTTCCAAGTGTTTTTTTAAAGACTATCTTTTTAAAATGGGCCATCAACAACAGAAGGTGCCCCGAACTTTCAGGACAGGTTTTTTTGTGCTACATGTATCTGATCAGGACCAAATCCTCCGATATGAAGTCAGACCCCAGCCTTCCTTAGGTGAGTTTTAACAGGAAGCATTTATTGAATGCTCCCAGGTTTACAGCGACAGATACACAGACCCGGGCCTTACCTGTACCCCGGCCTTCTGGGACCTCTGTTCCACTTTGGGGGATACAACATGCAGACAAATGGACACGGAGCAGACTTCCATTGGAAGGCAAAGAACTTGAACTCCAGGGGTGTCGTCAGTGGTCACTGGGGAAGTTCACCTGGTTGATGTACAAAGCTATAAGCTATAAGCAAGACCTTATCTGTGCCCAAAGTCCAGGATGCCATCATCTTCACAGACCTGGAGCTTGACTTGGGGTTTACGTTCAGAGGTAGTTTTTATCCTGGAGATGGGCTTTCAGTAAACAAATTTGTTAGAGATGCATATGTAAGCCATAATGTCAATAGAGTGACTGGTCATGAGAACCATACTTGTAGGTTAAACTAGATGTCCTTACTTGTATGTCAACACACTCTTTCTGTGCTGGTAGAGCTACCTGGGAAGCAGAATTTTAGTCATGAGCTGGGCCGGGAAGGATGAACACAGAAGCCTCGGTAACAAGGCATTCCTTGGCTTCCTTATTTTCCAGCATAGAAAGCTGAAAACAGTGGTAATAAGAACCTCCACCGTCTCTAGGGGCGTTCCAGTTTACCAGGAGTCAGGTTAGCCCCTTAGCAAGCATTGTTTCATTTAGGCCTCGCAGTCACTTGTCACATATGTACGTTGAGACCCTGTAAGCTGGGAAAGACAGAAAATCCGTGGTGGGTCTGAACTGTGTAGCTCAGAGCACCAAGGGCTCCAAGCCAGGGCTCATGTGACTGCTGTGGATAAATGGTTTTAATTGAAGGAATTAAAGTTGTGCATATCTATTAGCCTTGTAGAAAACCACACTCTAGACGTTGGACGCAGAGGCTTCTGCATCCTCCCATGCACTGGGGACTTCTCGGGGTGAATTTCTCTGCCCCGTGTCCTTGGACTTTTTTAACCTTCTTTGCTCAGTAAAGATGTTTTCTGTCCTGCCCATGACACAGTTTCAAGATAGGTTTTTCCCCCTGTTCTTTGTGGCTCTCTCTCCTCTGTGCCTGTTCTGTTGTAGTCTTCATAACTTAAATCCACTTCACACATGAGAACATCCCTTCCCACGGAGGTTCACTAACCACCCCAGTCAGATGGGCTGTGGCAGAAGGTATATTCTGTGGTCAGTGCTCGAAAGACAAGTGCCCAGAGATGGCCCACATCACACGAGTTCCAGGTGGGAAGAACAAACCCAGGGAGCTGTGAGCCTGGTTGAAGGCAA